AGCTCTGCACCCAGCAAATTTTCCCAGTGGGTGCTCCTAAGGTGCCACTTTTGATGTGACCAGTGGGGGAGCTCCCCCTGCTCCCCCCCATCTACGCTCCCCTGCCCCTAGGAGCCAGAGGGACCTGCCAGGTGCTTCCTGGAAGCTGCCCCAGGTAAGCACCTCTGGGACTCCCCACCTCACACCTCGGCAGATGCCTTTGGCTCTTAAGGGCAGGGCGGACACCCGCTATGGTGGCCCATGAGACCCTCCTGCCCGGTTCTGGGGGCAGTCAGGGGACAGGAGAGGAGTGTGGATGGGGCACGGGTCCTGGGGGGGGGGCACCAAGGAACGCGGGGGGGTTAGATGGGGCAGGAGTCCAGGGGGGCGGGGGTGGGCAACGACCCCCTCGTGGAGTGAGGAGGGAACCCGTTGTTAAGATTTTGGCAGCTAATCACTGGATTTAGGCAAAGGGCTTTACTAGAGTTAATAGTTTTGAATCATGGAGAAAAGTACGAAATGAGAAGGATTCACACTTACAGTATATATTGTCTAAATCACATCATAGGCCTGGCAAAAATCCATCCATTCCTGAAACTATCGCATCAGAAAAACATTAGCAAAGTGGTTCTAAAGAACAGAATTCTCAGAAGAAACATCTGTTTCGTTATTCAAATTCAACTCATACTAGGAACGTAATTAATTTATGTGGTCTTTTCAACCACACCATGTGGTTTATGATTCATCCGATGTGTTTTCAGCTGTGAGTCAGATAAGTGCTCCTGGTTTGCTGGCTACATGACTGGAATGGCATATTTGCTGTTTATTCCACATATTAAAATGGGCACTGTATCTAGCAGCTGAGAGAATTAGCTCTTGTACAGTAAAACATGCTTCTCAAAGACAGTTGGTATATAAGCAGTGCAGAGTAACATGGTATAAAAATTTCTGCTTATTCATACAGAAAACTCAAGTGTAAATTGAGCCTGAAGACCAGGATATGGATAGTGTCCAACAAAACTCCTGCTTGAGCAAAGTATCCACTGTTTATGATCCTGTGAAAGGACGCTATGCATATAGGACCAAATTTTCAAAACCCTGTGAAGGCAGGAATCCTGGTTTGTTGGTGTATTTTGGGGCACAAGCAGGAGACAAGCTTGGATTTTCAAAGGGGGCAGCAGCTGTGTGTGCTGAAAGATAAACAGTTGGGCTTAGAATTTTGATTGGTGCATGCAAGACAAAAAAGGTGTCCACAAGCTAGTCATAGTCATAGTGTAGTCAGGTGTAAACTGGGAGGTGCATGAAGAGGTTCTATCTAATCTTCCCTCTCTTGGCTGCTGGGCCAAAAGAGGCAACTACTGGCAGTAGCAGTGAGAGAAGACGATTTGTGTGGGAGTTGAAAATTGTTGTGCGGTAGGCAGGAATGGTTCTTGGGTGGCAGGGAGTCTCATGGGAGATAGCAGCAGGCAGCTTTCCTGGCTCTGTTTGTGCTGAGGAGGATGAGAGAGAGGCATAGGGAGGCAGAGGGAAGGCCACTGGATCAACCAGTCAGCTCTATCTATTTGCCTTTGGTTTGGCATATCTTGTTCTGGGTGCTTTTAAATGCACAACAGCCATTAGAATATATTAATATAATATTGGCATATGCTAATGACCTGTTACTATATGTCAGTGTGAAATATGTGCAGTCCAACAGGTGCTCAGTTTCTGAAAATTGGTCTCAGGGGGCCACAGAGGGCCAGTAAGGAATCAGCAGAGGAAGCAGACACTTTCATAGTACAGAAGCAAATACACCTGCAACTACACTATCCTCGCCTTAGTGGTTTCTTCAGTTGTTGGGTCTGCTTGGCCTGCAGAATCATGCAGGATCCTGTGGGACAATAGCTTTGCACAACATCAAATGACTATAATGTTGGACAGCAGATGGGAGCATCCTTTCCACTGCTCAGAACCTCTGGGCATCTACTGTAATGAACACCCTGGCTGGAGGTGCTCCAGAAGATAAAGAACTATTTTTACTTTTTTTAATTTAATTTTTGTTGTTCAATAATTTTTAGCTGTGTTCACCCAAGTCTGCAGCACTCACTCAGGCCAAAGTCAAGGCCAAGTAGGGCTACATGCAAGGGCCCTGTTTACAGTGTATGTGAACAGTTTTCTTCACTGCTGTGGTGATGGCAGGGAAGGAGAGAACTACCTCCCTTTTGAATCCAGTTCCCACATCCTCACCTATCATTACACACATGACAGTAGTACCCAAGGGACACACATAGTCTGTAGAGGAAATGGGGAATAGCAATCAGCCTTGGAGCGCTGGAGAAAGGCAAACTGCATATTTTTTCCACTGAGGGGGTTTGGGAATGGGGCTTGGACGGGATGGAGCATAACATGGAGTAGATGTATTCTACTCTGTTCTGGTTCTCACACTGCATCCTTCAGAGGGATTGCTAGCACCTCTGCACATCAGTTTTTTAGCATGATTTTAAAAACAACTAATGTTTTCCCCCCTTTATAGTGCTTCTAGAGCTGCAGTGTCCAGGAGATAGTCCTCTGGCAGCTGCTAGAGGGTGATGCCAGCTGTGTGCCCCGAAAAAGTATGTACAATAGTGTGGTGCTACATAAAATGTGGAATGTTTTAAAAATTGCTAAATTGTGCAGTGACCTTTTCCCCATTTGTTAATTTTGCAAGGTTGGCCTGGATTTTTTTTTCTGTTTTAAATAACTGTTTTAAAATTATTAATAGAAATTGTGGTTCATTTAATTGCACTATGATCCACCTTTTTCTAAGGATGTCAAGACCAGCCATGCGGCACCCTCAGCCCTCTCCGGGCTGCAGAAACTAAGACCACGGGGAATGGGGTAGAGCCAAGACCCACCGAGTGATACCTCATTTATCCTTGGGTCTAGACACTGAGGGAGAGGGAACAGGGCAGAGCCAAGACCAGCTGAGTGGTGCCTTGGCTACCCACTGGCCTTCAGCCTGGCACGTTGAGCCCCTTGGAAAAGCCTTGTGCTGTGCAAGCGTCCAGACTCTGTACACACATGCCTTGGATGCACTCATCCGGCCTAATTTACAGCCTGCCTGTTCATGCTGTAGATCTTTGACCAGACCCGATAGGTGCCACTGCGCATGTGCAACCGGCCTTTGACAATTTGGCCTACATGGAGCAGAAGTAATTTAACCCAAGTCTCATTGTTAGGTGTGTAACAGAAAAGGAATGCCTTCACAAAAGGTAGATAAAACCACTCACTATCTTAGCAGCAGCCTAAGTGCTAAACAGCTCAGAGCTAATGGTGAAGTTTGCCACAGAGCCAGTCTGCCACATAACCGAGGAACCTGCCAGGGAACCTACAGGCTCCCATGCCATAGCTGGAAAAATATATATTGCTCAGCATGGCACTGGTGACCTGCCACTGCCAAGCATGCTGTGAGTGAGGATATGGATACTAGCTCAGTTGTTAGAACAGATGAAACAGAGGCAAGAAAAGTAGGATAGCATATGAAGGACCATCACAGGAGTAAGCAATGGTAGCTGCTATGTGTATTATTATTTATATTGCAGTAGTGCCTAATCTACCTTTATAGCAGGAGTTAACTCACTGGGCCAAATGTTCCCTTGAGTTATATCCAGGCAACTGCACTGAAGTTTAGGTTAGGGAAAAGCCTTTACTTTATGGATTTAAAATATTTACTTTTTCCGCACAGTACTAAAAAAATAAAAGTTTCTTTTAAAAATAATGAAAATATATTTTAGTTAAGGTAAAAATACTAAATATAAAAATGTAATGTAATATTTAAAATAACTGCTAAAAAGTTATGTGAATTGTTTGTTATATTGACTTTCAATTATGGCACATTACTGCTAGCAAAGTGAGAAATATGGTGTGCCAATATACCCACATGGTGGGTTAGGAGGGACGCTCATGCATTTCTGCACAGAAAAAAAATCTGCTAGTAAATGAAATATGAATAATGTTCATGCACTGTGTTGTATGCGTTGTGTGTTACAGGTAAAGCAGCACAGTATATTCCATCCAATATAGCACATATGCATAAGTGTTCTTCTCCGTAATCAAAGAATTCTCTGCTTCTAAAACAGGAAACATTTTTCTAAGTTACTTTTTGGTTGCTAATAAGTTTGTTACAATGGGAAACCCTGTTTTGATTTTCATCAGCTCTATCTACCTCTTTGACCTACATATTATAAAATTCTGTACTAGATCATGGAACATGTGCTTGCAATTGTTTTGAGAAAGAAATAAAAAGTTAGACTTCATTGACTGATTCAAACAACAAATGCAATATTTTTGGAGAGTAAAGCGTCTTTAGAGAATAAGTTTTTTTAACTTATTTTTGCGACATGCACATAAACTCATCTAGTTAATAATTCATTTGTATATTTAAAAAAACTAAAAATTGGTTCAGTTTATCATCATCATTATTTTTATGGACAGTAATGAAATAATAAAATTATTTGTCCGAGTTTTCAACTGGGGAAGCACCTCCGTGTGTGTTACCAACAGTAGCTAGACGCATTCATGTACTTATCAATTATTTGCAGGTTGTAGAGATCCAAAATTTCAATGCCATTCTTTTAAATATCACTTTAAGAGATCCCAAAATAACAATTAAAAAATACCAGATGAGGCTTCAGCAGCTAGAGGGAGAGATTGCATCATGTTTTGGCAGTGACTGGAACACTGGCAGCATTCAGTGTGAGAAGAATAAAATGGCAGCAAAACTGATCAGCAGCTTCTCTTCATCTGGAGTTTTCCCAGGTAGTTAAACAAAACAGACACACACACATAAAGCTGCAATGGGAGTAGGTGAAAGCCCTGGCTCTTGCATTGCTTTGATGAAAGTAAACTAGGTTGGAGCACATCACCATCCTGAAGAAGCAGACAGACGTGTAAAACCTCCAAATAATGATCTTCATTATAACAGCTAGGGACAGTGACCTTTGTCAGCTACACATCGTGCTCATTTGTAGGTTCACCTTCACTCAGCCTTATGATTTATTCACCTCATTGGAGTTTTGGCTGGTTGACATGTGGGAGTCCAGATTCTCCTTGCATTTCTCCAGATCATGGAAATAAGGGTGAGACAGGGCAACATAGGCAGATATCCTCTTGGTGGGATTGAACGCTAAACATTTCTAAAAGGATTAAAATAAGATGGTTTTAGTGTAGTGGTTACGTGTATAATATGCAACTGATATTATAAATAATGCAGATAATATAGATACAAATTAATGAGTGTCATTATATTGATTTATAACTACAATAGCCTGAAGTTCTAGAGCCAGTTCAAGTGCTGCATGGACCTTGCATATTTTCTCAGTCAAAGAGAAGTGGCCAGGCAGCTGAGTCAGACTATATCAATATTACACACAAAAACTACATTAAAAGAACACTAAGGTTGCAAAATCAAGCCCTCAAAAATTAGGAAACGTCAGAATTAAGGTTCTCTGTGCAAACTTCATTCAGTGCCTTTGTCCATAGGTATTATGATAAAGTATTTAATTACATTATCATATATTTTTCTACATGATCTCTGTCTCATTCAGTGCACAGGATGGACCTGCCCTGGAAATTAATCAGGTTGTGTAGTGAAGGAGGCTGTTGTCCCTAGGATCCCTGCTTCATTTGCTGCAGAAGTTGGAAGGTAAGTAGTGAATGAGGCAGGGGATTGTAGGAAGAATAAGGATAGTCTCATGGTTATGCATGGAGAACTGGATTCTACCTCTGCCTCAGGCACAGATTTCCTGTGTGATGGCAGACAAGTTACTTAAACGAAACTTTTCACAGGAGGTCACTAGTTGTGTGTTCTTCATTTTTTGGGTGCTTGACTGGGGACCCTGGGATCTGATTTCTAGAAGTTGTGAGTACTAACAACAGCAACTGAAGACAAAGGGAGCAGTGCTGGAATGTATAAAATGCTATATAATGCTAAGTACTCTGAAAAATCAAGCTGTAGATACATCAAATTGGGCACCCAGAATTAGCGGACACTTTTGACCATAATTTGTTTGTGCCTTAGCTCCCCATCTGCTCCTCATCTCACAAGGGGGGTGAAGTTAAATTAATTAATGTTTGGGAAGCACTTGGATACTCTAGTGATGAGTGCTGTAGAAAAACCCAGGAGGAAATTAATAGTTTTGTCTTTAGAGCAGGGTTTGAATAGAGTGCAATAAATAAGGCCATGGGGATAAAACAAAATACTGTATAACACCATCCATCCTGTTCACTGAATGAGGCAGGGGTCCTTTGGAAAAAAATATGTGAGCGTGTAATTAAAGACCAGTGGGGACTGAATTAAAGTTCATAGGCAATCTTCCCACCTTTAGACTCCCAGTCCCAGTCTCCTTGCCCAATCAGTCCAAAACCACTGCCACAGTCCCAGCTATTCTAGATTCCCATGTTCCAATGTACTGCTTTCCCTTGCCCAGGTCTGGCTCATCCCCCCTACATTCAAGTCAGGTGGCTTCCTCCTCCATGCTGCCTGGGCACTAGATGGAGGCATGGGCAGCAGGTATTATAGGCCAGGCTAAGCCTTCCCTGGCACAGCTGCCCCAAGGGACACCTGGGCCACAGTGGCCCCGCCCCTTCCCTGAGGTCCCCCGCACCCACTGCCTGCTGCTACTGCTGCCGCCTGTCTACCTGCACTGCACCTCCTCCTCCTCCCCAGGTCTCCACGCTGCTCACCGCGTCGCTTCTCCTTGAGGGCGGGGGAGTGAGGAGGGATGCTGCGAGCAAGCTGCAGGAGCGGGGGTCTGGTGGGGGAGTGAAGCAGCTCGGCCAGGCACTGGGGCCGCTGGCTCGGACAGAGTGGGGCACCGGCTCTGCTTGGCACTCGGGCAGAAGGGGTGGGGCCAGCGGGCTAGCTTCCCCAAAGTGGGGTTCACCTGCCCCCCATGGATGTGTGGTCACTGAGAGCACAAGAGAGACAAGCTCCCTGTTCTTAATTAAGGTGCCTAAACCCAGGCCCAGCCTGCCCCACAGCAATCAGGAATGGCAATTGTGCAGCAAGCCTGGCTTTTCTCTAGTCCTGGGGTGGAGCATGCTCAGTCACTCTGAGGGGGTGGTGCATGCTCACACTTGCCAACACTAGGAGCCATAAGGGGATGCAGTGTACCCAGGGCAGATGAAATCTTAAGAGATTTTCGCCAGTGAACTCAAAGAAGTTCCTACTGAGCATGTGTGAAATGAGATTTTTCAACTACTTATATCTTAGCCAAATTTGGACACATTTTCACATGAATAGCAAAAGGAACATCCCTGACACAAAGGTCAGCCCCTGACAAATTTCAAATCTCTGCTCTAAATCATGGGCTGCTAGAGCTTCTCAAAGAAAAGATCGCCAGAATTTGTTAACATTGCAAACCAATATATTTTTCTTTAGCCTTGTTCTTGGAAACAGTGGAACCATTTTGGCTGAAACTTTCCAAAAACAATTCAGCCTGAGGCAGACATCTGGCATAAAAACATTTCTACTCAAATGGTTAAAGTCTGACAAAGTTATAAGCAACTGAAAAAGTCTTATAATATGAAGTGTTAATAGTAGGCAGTGCTACCAGCCTCGCCTATAATAAAATAAGTACAGGAAAATCCAATATTTCATAGCTCTTAATCACCTTATATAGTCCTTGCATTTTCTAACAACATTCTATGAAAGGCTAGCAGGCATAGGGATAGAAGGCTAACCTAGTTGTTACATGTCATTAGCACTTAAATAAATAATAATGTATTTATTCAAATCCTTCTAAAATATTTATTTGTTCTGTGACACCCACTAGAGTGAGTCAACAACAACAACATTTGTAGGCATCCCACCCCTAGGTTTCTGGTGCATGTGTAACCATGATCTTGACTAGTTTTTGGCCCAATGGTTGGTGTGTTTTCCGTATCCCCCTTAGTGCCTAATCCACAGAGCATGCAAGTCTGTTACAGCCTCCAGCTATGGAGCTTGATTCCTTACGTCAAGGTGTAGCGAGTCAAGCTTTTAGCTCTGGAAGTCCCTGGTTCAATCTCTGGTGCTACCATATGTAGCCAACTGGTCAGTGTGTGTTGGAAAATATTTAGTGAATGAGGCAGGGGATTGCAGGAAGAGTAAGGATAGTCTCATGGTTATGCAGTTGAATCTATCCTTGAGAACTAGATTATATCCCAGCCTCAGCCACAGATTTCCTGTGTGATGGTAGGCAACCCCTACTCCCAGTCCACAGAGAATATGGGTTTTTACAATTCACTGCTGAACTCAGCTCTAGATGCCAGCACAAGCTCCTGTTGTTCACTTATGCCCAAATTCTGTGAATCAGTGTAAAGACAAGTAAAGCTGTGCACTGGTGATTTCCACAGGAGATTGAGGAGACGAAGAAATTGCGTCTTCTGTCTGTGAAGTGGCTGTAGTAGCCTGGAATACCCTGAAGCTGCAGTAGTCCCTGCACTGCTCATGCATGCTCTCTGTGGGGAAAAACAGTTGCTGAATCCACAAATGATGACCCCAAGGAGCTGGGCTCAGCATTGCACAGAAGACATGCACCACCCAAATGGCCTACCCTCTGTGCACAAAAGTTTTTGTACAAGTTCTGCTGTATATAGCACTTCTGCACCATGGAGGAAGGGCAGTTCAGCCACTGGAATCACTTCTGGCTCACCTCTAATAATATTATTACATTAAAAAAACATTTTTTGACATGGTGCAATGTGCAGTAGCTGCAATCATTTAAGATATGCTTGGAGAATAACAAACTTACAAGAAGTAAGTCCTTGCCTAGTTCATCGATATCTGGTACAAACTTTTCAATGAGTTGTGGCGGTCTGGAATTGAAAGCATGTCTTGGAAGGGCAACATCACTAGGCCAGTCTTCTTCTTCCGGGAGCCCAATGACACTGTGTAAGGAACAAGCATACATATTAGCTGGGGGTGAAACAAAAATATGTTATTGCTGTATTTATACAGCCTCATCTTCTTTCATTGTATTAAATGCTAAATCCTGCTTCACATGTTTTCATGGGATTGCCACTTGTTCTTTTGACGCGAGCAGCAGCATTATCCAGGATCACAGAATAATCTATAAAATCATATAAGGCAATTTTTAAAACCTTTATAGACTATACTTTACATGACAATAAGGGCCAGATAATGCATCCCTTGCTTGCACTGAGGAGCACCTTACTCTGTAAATAATCCCACTGATTTCAATAGGACTGTTTGCAGAGCAGTGCATTATTCAATGGGAGTAGGGGTAGCAGAACTGGGCCTTAATGATACATGGGAAAAAATCTTTATGGAGGCAGTTTGGTGATAGTGTTCTGGCCTGGGTCTCACTCTCCTGAGTCCCTGGATTGGCAAAGTGCTGCAAGTGCTTTGGGAGAAATGTGCTCAGACCTTGGAGGCATGGTGCACCTTTTATCACTCAAGAGTGATTAAAAGGAGATTTCACAGAGGAATTCCATGCAGGCCACATTTGCCACAAGGATGATGATCCTGACAAAAATCCTTAAGGAAAAGACAGCAGAGCATGGGTCAAGGAGGCCATTTCACAAAATTAAATAACTCAGCTGCTTTAGGATAAAATTTTCAAAAGCACCTAAGTGTACATAGACTCCTAAGTCACTTAGGTGCTTTTGAAAATTTTACTCCTAATTTTGTTTTATGTTCCTCTTATCCATAGTTGGAAAACTAATATTTCTTCTTCTGTTCTGAATATGACACAAAGCTTCTGCTTATGAAATGAGCATGCTAATTTCTAGAAACATGGATAAATGAAAACAGCTGAATTGTTGGGATTTCTTTTAAATGTACAAAAAAAAACCCTTTCTTTTTGGACCATGTTGCTGCACAATTCAAGCTTCAGCCTGGAGTTAATATTTCCAATAGAGCTATAAAGTGGTGAAATAAGGGCTTGTAATGGAAATGCTGACAGAGACCCATTAGCCAGACTTTACATACCAAGTTTTAGCCAAAATCAAATTTACAGCTGAATTTTACACGCCTTAAAATTGAAATTTATAATGAAAATGCTGAGAGACTCAGAACTATAACATAGAAAAACAAAAGTTTCCTTAAGAGTTTGGGCTTTTAATGGAAATGCCACCAGGGTGCAGCATTGTCCTTTCTTTTTATTAATAGTGCTTGGTAGTAGACACAGAATGAAAATTAGGACCAAGCATTGCTCTTACTTACTTATAAATCCCGAGTTACTCCTTTCAAGTCAATGGAATTACCTCAGATTTCTACAGGTATGAGAGCAGAATTTGGCCCTTAGTATTTAAGGTACGTCAACAAACTAATATCGTGTACTAAAAAACAGCAGTGTGCCCAGGAGTGCGCCACCACTTCAATCTTTCCCCGCAGTATCCACAGACTGCTAAGCTCTTGCCAAAGTGGAAATTAGATCTCTTTGAAAAGTTAAACTCGATTGTTATTTATTATTTGTAGGTCACCACTGACATGCAGGGAGCTTTACTTATAAGATGACAAGTCCTGCCCGGAGGGTCTTTCAGTTTAATACTCCGATCCTGCAAATGCTTAGCCATGTGGGTAACATTACATATGTGCTTGTCCCATTGAACCTGTGAATACATGCATGTGCATAAGTGATGAAGACCTGAGTTCACATCAGATATAACACAATGGGCTGTGTGTGATCAGAGGGGGAGGAGGAGTTTTCAAATGGTAATTACATATACAAGTTTGTTTTCTTTCAAATGTGTCCAGTTAGTTCTGATTTTTCTTTTAAGGAGTACATGATTGGGCATGAGAGCACAAACAGACCAGAGTAAATGCTAGCAGTTGGAAGTTATCGGCAAGAAGTGAGGAGGCTGTCTGGTGCGCAGGAAAGGGGGGTTGGTTCCAGGCATAAGGGGCAGCATTAAAAAAAAAGTACAAAAATGGGAGTTGGATTTTTTTCAAGTAGATCTTTACGGATCCTACAAAACATTTGGAAATTGTTTAATACACGAGTGTCTGCCTGGCAGCCCTAGCAGGTTGCACTACCATTTGGGTGACCAAGATTCTGGAGCATATTGGAAGAAGCTATTTTATCCTCTCACCATACCAACAGTACAATAGTGGCAGTAGCAGTAAATATTGATATATTATGGTAGAACCCAAAGGCACAGGTTCAGACCTGATCCTGAGAGAGACTGAGCATTTTCCACTCCCAATGACTGCAACAGGAGTTAAGTATGCTCAACACACCCTGGCATCTGGCCTTAAATCTGTGAGCATACACCGTATATTGATGTTGGCATGGGGAAAGGAGGGGAGGGTTATGGGCCATCTCCTACATATTTATCCTCAGTCTTTGTGGAGAACTCCAACTAATGTAAATAAAGGCTGCACATGTGGAGGAAGGTCCAATTATCTGAAAAAATGTCAGTCCAGAATGTAGGAAAATGCGAGAACAACTTTATCCAAATTAGCCTAGAGAATGACTCACTACCATAGCAGGCAACAGCTTCCCCATAAAGGCAAGGCCTATGCCTAAATGTTGGGGGTCTCCAGCTGTGAAAACAGAAAATAAACACTATCTGACATAAAAAAGCAAGGAGGCGGCATTTGAAATATTGAAGGATAATTACACAAAAGAGGCAAAGCAGATTTTCTCTTTAAGTGAAGTGTGTAATAGAGAATTTCTTCTCTCTCCTAAAATTGGCACAGTATTTTTTTCTTCCTGATTAATGGTTGAATTCTTTTCCATACAGGTAATCTCACCCATTAGGGAGGGACAGATAGTTCACTGGAGGAGGCTGCTGTTGGCTATTATGTTTTTAATCCTATTCCAACTCATTTGTTTTGGGTTTTTTTCCTGAAATGTCATAAACAATTTAGGATCTTTAAAAAAAATCACAACCATGCTCTTTACGTCATTAAACTATGCTGCATGTATCAAAACATTCCTTGATTAATACATCAGAATATAAATTAATCAAAGGGATCACTTTGCCAGAACTAGAAAAAGCAAACAGGCGAGGACTGATTGTTTTTGGATTGTTCAGGAAGTGCTATTCACGGGTATGGTAAATTAACCACGCTAGTGAGTCATATACACTGGTATGGTATGCAGGAAAGGGAAGTCAACTGAATGAAAATCAAGACCTGCAATTTGGGAACCTCATTCTGAAGTATGAAAATCTTCAGAAATGGATGTGTTATAATTTGAGAGCTGGAAAAATGATTAGAGAGACAAATTCATTATTTGACCTACTGGAGTGCTTTCCTTTGAAGCTTTACGATCTTCTCTCTGGAGAGTGCCCCCTGAACCTCCGCTCCTCCCTGCCTACTATTACTACTCATCTTGGACTCTCCCTCCAACTGGATGCCTGGATCCCTGGAACTCTCTCCACAAGAGGGAGGATAGCTACAGAGGTGAATGAGCCCTCATTCTGTGCAGGAGTGGGAACAGCCATATGGGTGTCTGGTGGTCACAACCACTCCAGTATTATTATAAAACATTTATACCAGGCCTCAAATTTACATGGCACTTTCCAGGACACCGTCAGAAACATTCCTTACTATGAAGATATTTTAATCTAAAACAACAGAGAGGTGATTGATATTTTTCTCACTTATCTGTATCAATGACTTTAAAATGGAGATTTTTTATTCAAAAACGTACTTGGGAGGGGGGAGTAATTCTACTTTAAAAAGTTCAGAGTTTGTCTGAAGAGGAACTGCAATACCAATAAACAGAGTTGTAAAATGCTTTTAAAATAAAGTAAATTATCCCATCTCCAAGATAGCATCCATTTAATCTTGATACCTTTTATGTTTTCATAGCTGCCTTTATCACCAAAATATGGTTTCTTAATAATCTTTATTGGATATACAGTGAAGCTAAAATATTCCTTTCCACAGAAGTTGTTGATCCAGATTAACATTTCCATTTAATAATGAACATTTTTAAGGGATTCTGATTACATTTTTTTGAAATTCATAAATGAACAAAATATTGAATAGCTAAAACCTTATTTGGCTTTGTAAGGTGATTCTTTCTTGAATGCTCTAACTTTTAAGAAAATGTGTGAATGGTGCATGAACCATACATTTAAAAGATTAGAAAAAATCCCCAGAAGTCTATTGTCTTCTTGATGATGATTGTTATTTTATAAAACTATATTACATGCAGCTTCCTCCTCCCTATTTGACAGAGAATACACGGAAATATTATATTGCAGTGCAGCAGCAATAGGAAATATGTTCTAGGAATACTTTGTACAAGTCCTTTTACTCAATAAAAAGCATGGCAAAGAAATCTTAAAGTGTTTCAAGCTAAACTGCCACTGACATAATGCAGCGAATTAGTACTTACTCAAAGATTTTTCCTAGCTGATCAACATCTGAATTTCCACGAAAAAGTGGCCTGAAAGAATAAAGAAATAGAATAAGATTTCTTTAACTAAAGTGAACTTGTACTTGTCATTGAAAGTTTCCAAAACAAACCAAAAACCTGTTCTTTTGCTGAGTGCTCAGTTACCCCTTTGTGTTTTTATCCAAGTAGTAACTGCACTTTTCGAGGTTTCTCCTTGGATTGGTAACAAGACTTTAACTTAATGGATCAGGCACACCTACAGACATGTTACATTTGAGAATTAATTTCATCCTTTAATATGAGCAAAATAACTTTATTTCCTATCCTTTTTTAAGCTATCAGCATAAGAGTAAATCAAACACTGGTTGATGAAACAATGTACATTATGTAGGGCACATTCAAAGCGCTGTTTCGAGAGAGAGTCATGCTATGCATTTTAATAAAATAAAAGATTGATTACTAATGATATGTTTTAGAAATCAAATTCCTTGTGTATTCTATTAAAAATGAATGCCTAAGCTCTGGGGGTCAAATTGAAGACAGCGGGAATACATGAATCTGTAAATCATGGGATGTAAAACAGTGCAGAATTTACCTTGAAAGAGAGGAAAGCTTCTGCTGCATAAATAAAGATACATTTAGGAAATAAATTAATAATCCAAGCCTTCAATGGGTTGTTAGAAACAACAGTGACTAAAAAATACTCACTTTGAAAACTAGTGATATATACCGTGTCCTTTTAAAGTGCAATTACAATTTTTGTTCTTCTGTTATTTTAATTTGCAAAATATCATCCCCCTGTAATGGTACATTTATGTGAAAGCGACTGTACAGTAAGAGATGTAACAAACATTTGCGTGATATATTAGCTAACTGTCCCAATAGCACAATAAGGGTGTGATCTATGCTGTACCTATTTTTATGCCTAAAATTCTAAAGAGACTAGTAAATCCCAGATAATTTAGGGTCCTGTCCACCAGGAATTTATACATCTTCCTATGATGAGCAGGCTGCTGGTAGCCGTGTAAGGTAGTGTAGCACTTTGGCGCAGCTATAAAAGGGATATAGTGCGAGTAGTCAAAGGAGCACACTGTAGGCAGACTGTAAGAAATGAGATTTTACTGTTGTCAGCTGACAGCCAGGTTGCCTCCCCCTTCAGAACTCCTAATTCCCAGAATGCAATACATGTTGTAAGCTTACAGTTGCAGTTACCATGACACAATACAGGGTAGCACTTTAACTGAAACACAGAGACTTTATAAACGATGCATATTCTGGTGTCTTCAGTAGCAGCACGTGATTGAGTTTTCCCCATGACCAGTTCTCCTCCTCCTTCACTTGCCCAGCATATTGCTTTTCTTTCCCCGGCTGAGCTCCCTCACAGTGCTACCAGTCAGTGAGATACCAACCATTTCATGGTTTCAGTTTGCCAGAGAAGAACTCCCATCTGCATTAGGAGATAAAGGGACACTTGGCCATACCCTTCCTCCTCCCCAAACCACAGGTACAGAAATGGGAGTAGTCTGCACAGTTCTAAGGATGGTTTAAAAGGCATGTTTCTCCCTGCCTACCAGTTAATTCCTGGAAAAACTGAAGACTGAAGGCCCACTTACTGGGGCAATGCAGCTCCATGTCACAGTCTAATTTAGGGCTGAGGATCAATTACATGATCTAGCCTTATATGTCCTCACATACATGACAGACCCAAGAACCGTAACATCTCTCCTCTAAAATAACTGACCACACAAAATACATATCCTGAAAGAAGTCTGTGACACCCAGAAAAACAATAGCAAAGGAATGACTGTAAAATGTGCAAGTCATCTTTCATATACCGTATGTGCATTCTACTCCCTCATGTTTGCAAATGATGTCACATCAGCTTAGACTAAGCTGTTTTTGGGAAGGAAATTCAGAGAAGAATCTGACCCAGTAACCCCTGCAGCCGTACTACTCCAAGTTTAAACTGCCTTTTTGTTGACCACGAAGCACTGTGCATATTTAGGATAGTGGGTCTGAAATAAATAATAAATTTGTACACCACTGTTTGTTGATTAATTTTGGCCTCTTTTTAATAAGATTGTTTCAGTTTACATTGGATCTTTACTCATTTTATCATTCCCTGCTTTACGTCATTTCACAGTATCAGTTTCTAAGGAAAAGAGAACGTGACTCCAAACAGATATGCACAACTAATTCTGCAGTCAGTTATGGGACTGATTTTTGTAAGTGTTTGAGCACCATAATTCCATAGAAGTCAGGGGAGACACCAGGTTCTTAGTACCTCTTCATTTTGACAACTTCAGGTAATTTTTAAGTGATTATTTGAAACTGCTAACGTGCCTCAACCTCCTCCATTTGTGGATTTTCCTCTGGCTCAAAGCAATATTAAGCAGGCCCCTTTAAGCTAAAGAAATGTACACATTCAAAACGTTCCATCCAAGCAAAAGTAAAGCAGAACCAATGTTTTAAAATGTATTCTCAACCTTGTGTTAATGTGAAAACTTGGCAAATTCAGCCTTGTTCTCGGATCACCTTAGGCAGTGTCATGCCAAAACAAGTATGATTCTTGGGATTTTTAAGAAAAACGTTTCCCATAGCTGCTGCTCCCTTGGATTTAGTAAGACCTGAAGCAAGAATTTAAATTCTTTTGAGAGTGTAACCATAGAGCGCAACATGATCTTCCAGCACACTCTGATATTCCACTACAATGAAGAATTAATTAATTCATCTTTCAGACTCTTATCCATCCCAGAGTCATAACTTCAACAGGGTGCCAGCATTGGGCAACACCAATGGAATGAATTTGCCTCATGAATTTTAGCTGATGGTTCAATACTCCCTGTACAGATGACTGGAGAAGTACATTCATTTAATCTGCAGGCACATGAAGACCTCCTGTCTCACATTTTGGCACCATTTACTCTGTAGTAGTCGTGTGCCAGCACAGACTGTATGTGCACCTTATATGGGAACTCTCATCTCAAGCAATTGTTTTTTAATTCTGTTCTTAAAGGTGGATGTCAGCACTCCCAGTACTGCTGAATCTAGAGTATACTCCAGCAAATTTCATCCCCTGCTTCTTGTATCTTTCACTTGACTCACTCCCCAGGGTTTATTTATCTTATATGAAAACTGAATCCAGAAGTCCTTAACTCAGAGATACAGTCTCCTCTATGTGAGAATAATCTCTGTAAAAAAAGTTAAACTCAGGGGTACTGTTCAGATTACGGAGTTTCCTACTTGCTCTTTTGTGGGGTAAAGGCAAGGGACTGGGTTTGCTATCTGTAGCAGAGGCTGCGGGTTCCATCCTCTGAACTCACGGAACCCCTAAGAGTTCTGTGCAGATAGGGATCCACAGGAGGCAAGGGCTATCCACATGGACACCTCCTGCCTCCATTATTTCCCCCTCTCCCCTGGATCCTACCAGCTCCCACTGACACTGCTTATTGCAGGAGCAATGCTTGTGGGAGGTCCCCATTCGGAACATATCTAAAAGGCAGGGGAAGGGCCATGTTCTACAGTGCAGACAAGGCAGAAGTTTATATTTGCACAGCCTCAGGATATCTCAACTTCTCCAGTGTCCCCCATGTTTTGTTTTGATGGGCAGGTTGGTTTGGGGACAATCCAGAGCATCCCCAGTGGCTCCCCCACTCCCTCTCCAACTCTTTGGAGCTGGAATGTCACAAAGTCCCATGGGTGGCCTCTGCTAGGTGCAGAGGAAGCATGCCACAGAGTTGGACTCCTCTTTACTGTGGGAGCAGGCTCTCCTCAGTATGTGGATGTGGAAAGGAGTAGGAGACACACAATTTTGACTCAGTCTTAGTGGAGCGAGCTCCCAGTGAAGTCAAGGACTGAGTGAAAACTGAATAAGAATCTCAGGATTTAGCCTTGAAGTACAGAATGCGCTGATGCCCTATTAAGCGGATATGAGCTATAGGAGTTTGCAATATGGCTTTTTTCTCAGGGCAAATCTATTTACCTTCTTAACAGAGCAAGCCAAAAGAAAGATAAATACACACTGAAATATAAATAGAAGTTATAACATAAACTAACAGTGGAAAACAACACAAATACAAAAATGCAATGTGTGTGTACAGATCAAAAATATTTACACTGATATTTCCCTGGCAGAAAGGAACTGATCATAGATTCCAAGGTCACAAGGGACCAGTAGGATCATCTAGCCTGACTGTGTAACACAGGCCCTAGAACCTCCCTGACAAATTTCTTAGAGCAGATCTTTTTTAAAAAACACCCAGTCTTGATTTAAAAACTATCAGTGATGGAGAATCACCATGACCCCCAGTAAATTGTTCCAATGAGTAATTACCCTCACTGTTAAAATCTTACACCTCATTTCCAGTCTGAATTTGTCTAGCTTCAACTTCCATCCATTGGATTGTATTATACCTTTCTCTGTTACATTTAAGAGGCCATTATCAAATATTTGTTCCCCATGCTGATACTTATAAACTGTGATCAAGTCACTTTTTCACCTTCTCTTTGTTAAAATAAATAGATTTTGCTCCTTGAGTCTATCACTGTAAGGAATGTTTTCTAATCCTTTAATCGTTCTTGTGGCTATTCTCTGATCCCTCTCCAATTTATCAACATCCTTCTTGAATTGTGGATGCCAGAACTGGAAACAGTGTTCTAGAGGTAAAATAACCTCTCTACTCCTACTAAAGATTCCCTTGTTTGTGAATCCCAGGATTACGTTAGCCCTTTTGGTCACACCATCTCACTGGGAATTCATGTTCAGCTCTTTGTCCACCACAACCCCCAAATCTTTTTCAGTCACTGCTTCCCAGGATAGAGTCCCCCATCGTTTAAGTAGGAACTACATTCTTTGTTCTTAGATGCATATATTTACATTTAACCGTATTAAGATGTGTATTGTTTGCTTGCGCCCAGTTTACCAAGGGATCCAGATCACTCTGAATCAGTGACCTGTGCTCTTCATTATTTACCACTCCCCCAATTTTTGTGTCATCTGCAAACTTCATCAGTGATGATTTTATGTTTTTTCTCAGGCCACTGATCAAAAT